TAAACATCAAAGTCCATCAAATTTTTCTTCAGGTTTAAAAACAAATTCAGCTTTAAAAAAAAATCTTAACCTCAGTTGCATGAGTTATTTATTTAACTGGAGACGGGACCCACCCCTCACCCTCCAACTTGGACAAACAACTGTGTGTGATGTTGGCCCTGGGGCTATAGTTCAAACATCTATTTTCAACTCGTCACAGCTTCCCACTGTCCTGACGAAGACAGAATGGAAAGAAGATTTACTTATTTCTAACATATTCCAAGATGAAATCTTTTATAAAATTTCAGACAGATATGTATAATAAAGTAGTGAGCCTAAATTATAATTGATTTGTCTACTTTATTTCCTAATTTCTGATTATTTTTGATTTAGTGATTTTTATCTTTGTCTTAGAAGAGTAAGGGATAGAAATTAAAGCTACCAATACACTTCTAACTTTTCTCTCTTTTAAAAAAAAATACATTTTTATTTATTTTAGAGGAAGGGAGAAGGATAGAGAGACAGAAACATCATGGATCAGCTGTCCCCCACCCCCTACTGGGACCACACTAGCTGGGTGTAACTTTTCTCCCTTCAAACTACTCATTTAGAAAACTATATATAAGTCTGATGTCCACCCAAGTGTCACTCACAGGGAACCTGCATAGTAAAATGTGGGGTGAACACACCATTGACTATGACAGAGCACTTAGATACATCCAACTAGATCAGGTTTACCAAATGGCTGGACTTCATGACACTCTTAGAATCTCAACAGTTATTTCACGGTACTCCTAGGACAGTGATGGCGAACCTATGACACGCGTGTCAGAGGTGACACGCGAACTCATTTTTTTGGTTGATTTTTCTTTGTTAAATGGCATTTAAATATATAAAATAAATATCAAAAATATGTCTTTGTTTTACTATAGTTGCAAATATCAAAAAATTTCTATATGTGACACGGCACCAGAGTTAAGTTAGGGTTTTTCAAAATGCTGACACGCCGAGCTCAAAAGGTTCGCCATCACTGTCCTAGGACAACAGAAATTCGAACGGTTCTGTTTATTAAGTAGTTAGGTGCAAACAGCTTATTATATCTAAATGCCCTAACAAGTTGGTAGCTGCTTGAAGAAAATAATACACGTAAGTTGGAGGAGAAAATA